GCCTCAACAACGCCCTGCTGTCTCATTCAGAAAAGGACATTTAACGTCTTTCCTGACAAGGGTTCTTTTCTTTTTTTTTTAGAAATTCCATTTTAAGTTTTTGCTAGGGACGGATGGAACGGTAATGAGCTTGCAATGTGATCAAAAGGCTGCAGTTATTGTAACTCCAATCCCTGTCTTTCAATTGTGATCAGAGCTAGTGATAGAATCATAAAGTAATTTAATTTGCAAGGATGTCTTGAGGTCTTCTGGTCTTTCTACACAYACAAGGCAGGGCACAGCTCTCAATTAGACCCAACTTCAAAATTAGATCAGGTTGTTCAGTGTCCTGATTTCAAAAAGTAGGCAAACAAACAAAACCAGTTAACAGTTCTCTTGTCATTGGACATAACAAAATTTTATATGGATTTTTATCTCACCACTGATTGATCCTAGAAGAAAGCCTTGAGCTCCAGGCGAAGCTTTCAAGTCATTTCACTAYCCTGGGAAGAGAATGAATGGGAATTGCGATGACGTCTTCAAGGGACCTACCTTAGGTCTGGTGTRCTCTTAATACTCAGAGAGAGGTATATTAGTCGTTCGGATGTTAATCACTATGATATACAGATACTTAYATATCTCTAAAAATATATGGGTGGCTGCTGAGTTCAAAGTATGTTGCTAACCGACAGATGGGCTCCTGTGGAAGCAGATCTGGAAAATGCTGCATGCTGCTGTGTGCAAGTGCAGCAGACCTGGGCTGCAGGGGTTGGCAGGGTCTCCATGTTGTTTCTTGCTCCCAAGCTGGAATTCAACCTTCTGGCACCCCAACTTGTGTATTCTTCTGTATGAAAACAAACAGATCTCACTGCTGCCTCAACAGGGCCTTTGCAGGGCTCTGTTCAAAATTTCCTGGCATAACCTGATTACTGCAGCAAGGTCTAAAATAGGGGAGTTTTGAACTGGGTAGATGGAATAAATCTGGTGTTAAATCTCATTTTTAAAAATTCTAAATATTCATATGAACAGAGCAGCATCTGGGAACAAGATGAACCTCTCCCTAAACGATGGCTCTCCCCATTAGATTTGGGAGGTGTACAGAAAGAATGAATTAGCAGCCTGAACTCAAGAGCAGAAACAATTCCCTGAAGGGAATAGTTGTGGAGTGAATCCTGACTGATTGTGCTGAGCAAAACCGGCCAAGTTACTTCTGATGTCTCRTGACATGGTCTTGTCACCAAGATTGAAGAGGCATTTAAACAGCGTGCATTACTGAGCTCATTTTTTCTCCCCATAGTTCTCCAGGAGCTGTGAAATTCTGTATATTGGGAAACAGGTTCTCCAAAGGAGCTKCTGAAATGCCTTCACTGCCGAACAGCCGCCTGTGCCTGTTTCCAAAAGACAATGCTTCCCTTTCTAACAGCAAATCATCTGTGTGCTTTATAGTCACAGAATCGCAGGATGGTTGAGGTTGGAAGGGACCTCTAGAGATCATCCAGTCCAACCCCTCCTGCTCCAGCAGGGACACCCAGAGCACAGGGCGGCATCCAGGCAGGTTTGGAAGATCTCCAGAGAAGGAGACTCCACAGCCTCCCTGGGCAGCCTGTGCCAGGGCTCTGGCACCCTCACAGTGAAGAAGTTCCTCCTCACATGGAGATGGAACTGCCTGTTTCAACTTGTACCCATTGTCCCTTGTCCTATCACTGGACACCACTGAGAAGAGTTTGGCCCCTTCCTCCCTACACTCTCCCCTCAGGTGTCTGTACATGTTGGTAAGTTCCCCTCTCAAACTTCTCTTCTTCAGGCTAAACAGGCCCACTTCACTCAGTCTTTCCTTGTACGAGAGTCCTTTTGGTGTCTTTAGCATTTCTATGTGGTAGAAAAATACCCGAATTTTAGTAGCAGGGAACAGAGTTGCCAGGTCATGAAAGGGTTCCTCATGGTAGCCTCATCTTGTGKCACCTGCCCTCTGGATGTCTTGAACAGGGCTGGCTAATCACAAGGCATTGGTGTCCAGCACTGCCAGGGTGTCTTGAGTATCCTCTCCCTCAGAGCTGATCCACCTGCACAGCCACCTCATGACCTCCCTTCAGCCTCTCTCCCCCTCCAAATGCCCAGCATGGCCTTGACAAGGAAAATAGTGCTCCCATTTTGAGATGCCCATAATGCCACAGGGATGATGTGCAGGACATTACCCATACAGACAGCAACTCTTTGGGCAGATACTCTTTCAAATCTGAGCTGGAAAGCACGCAAGGAGGTCCTCAGCCATGCAGGCTGTACTCAAGGCTAGACTTGGCCATGTTAGTAAAGGCACAAAGATTGATGGGTGTCTTAGTACCCAACGTGTGGTGTCCACACCGCAGGCTGTGGCCGCTGCCTTGACTCTATGTTTGACGAGCTGGCCCCTTGGCTACAGAGATCCATAGGGAAAGACAGGGCTGGTCAGCAAGCAGGATCGGGCTGCGCTGAGCGGAGGGGACCGCAGGGTGCTGCCAATGGGGCAACAGGGGCTTAGGGACCGGTGCACTAGCGCTAGCAGAGGGCTGCAGCTTTGAACGAACTGTGTGAGGTGCGTGAGGTGCATCCCCACTGCCCTCAAGCTGCCCTGCTTTGGTACGAGCTGCCTGGGGCACCTTGCTCTTCCCATAAGGAAAAGCAAGGCTGGCAGGAGATTATGGAGTGGCTGGCAACTGGGGAGTCTTCGTCATCTGGAAGGGACATCAGTATTTCTGGATGGATTGCRGGGAAAATGGATGATTTGCATGGATGAAGTGAAGGAAACAACAGGGCAAGGCCCATCAGTTGATCATACGAATATTACTTAGGCTCAGGGCAGTGAAAGTTTACTGGAAGAGTCAAATCCTCAATTTTATGAAGATGTCCTCAGGCCCCAGGCCTCATGAAACCCCAGAAGGGGCTATAGATAAGGAATGAGGCTAGACAATACACAGATTTTACTGAGGAAAAACATTAACATCTGGCAAAATATCCTGGGACAGAGACCTGCCAAAAACAGACAGGCTGTCGAGGAAGTCTGTGGGTCCGTGACCCATGAGGAGAAAGGGGTTTCAGCCAGACTTGGGGCGGCCTCTCTGAGTGCTGTGGGCCAACGCAGGGTCCAAGCCCAGGGAGAAGGGACTTGGTTTCCTGGCCCGTACGCAGAGCTGTGCTGGTGGCTGCGATGGCTAACGGTCAACACACCGTTGTTCATTAACCTGATCAGTTAATAGGGGTTATTGTTGGCTTCAACTTGGGTCCTCACTGCCCCACCCCAGCCGGGCAGACAAGAGAATCTGGCATCTCTCACCCTTAAGTCAGTGGTGAATTCTTTTGAAACCAAACCCTCCTCAGCACCATCCTGCAGAGGCCCAGACTAGGAAAACTTCCTATACCAAGCGGGACGAGTCGATCCCTGTGGGAGCTTTTCTTTCCCCGTGTCTCTGTCGTGCTACGTGTCTCACGCAGCTCTGGCAGCACCGGGAGAAGCTTCCCAGGTCACAGGTGATCTAAGCTTGTCATATGTCTCYGCACTCGCCTTCCTTCCCCTTGCAGTGCACTTACCGGGGCTGAGATTTTTTCCAGTTGCGCATGGGATTTTGGCTTAGTCATTCCAGCAAGTCCTCTTCCTCTTTTTGAAGTTTTCCCAAGGTTTGCTTTGACTTTGCATCCGTAGGAAATGACAAGTCATATCACTTTTTTTTTTTTCTCTTTCAAAGCCTTTCATACTACTTTGCCCTACTAGAGGCCTGGGGTCTGAGCGGGAAGGCACAGTGAACTCACCAAGTATTACCAATAGGAAGTGACACTTTTCCTCCTTTTGTTCAGTGATTTCCCTATGGACTGCAGTTAAAATATTGGAGACATTTTATTTAAAGGCAGGAAGGTCGTGTTTTCAGCTTAGATAAATTTCTGATTTTCTATCCGACTGAGCTAAGCCAAACCTAATYAATCTGAATGAATTGCAAGTTCATTTCAAGTGTTCAAGTTCAGAGATTGTGAACATAAAAAAGAAAGTGAATATAGCCTTAAATTAAGTGTTGCCTCTAAATATGCCTTAATATCAGCAAAATAAGCACAATTAGAAAATATGCTCCTAGTATACGTCAACTTTTAAAGTCTTTGACAGAAACAGTCCATTTTATCAGCACTTGTGGTTCACGGAGTTCCCCGCATCAGCAGCAGAATAGCAGCAAATGTGTGAGGCCAAGACCTTCTGAGGGCCGACTGCTGATCTCTGCCCTAACACTAAGATGCTGAAGGTCGCCGTGATTGCAGCCTGCATTTTTCCCACATGCCCATTCCTCAGCGGTGCTTATCTGGTGAGTGGATTCTTTAAAAAAATAAAAGAAGCTGCAAAAAAATCTGTGAAATACTGTGAAATCTCTCCATACACTAAGGAGCCCCTGACCTCAGSTACGTGTATATTTTAAACAGCAAGATCGGTGCTAAATAAACTCTCTCTTTAATCTTGTATGGGATGGATTGGGACAGACCTGGAGGGATAGTCAGCTCAAATACATGCACTCCCAGAGTCACAACATGCCATGACACGGGCTGGCTTTCACCTGCGTTTCATGCAGAAGGAAAGTGTAGGACGGAAGGTGTGTTGTGTGTGCTCAGTTTTATTTTCCTGCTCATTCTATTAATAATACTCCTACTTCTGTGAAATTTCTAGGGCACCTTCCCATGTAACTTATGAGCTACAGCATCCTAAATAGTTAAAAAAGTGTAACACGCTAATACAGCTGCTTCATCATGTTATGCTTAAATATTTTTCTTAAATATTTATTTCTTAAATAYGTTAGTACTCCTTACCCTGCATTCTGGCAATTAACCTGAAGTTACAGTGAAAAAACAATCCATATCATAAATGGAAACCTACGAAAGCTTGCAAAAGCTTCTTCACAGAATGATATATAGACACTCATGAGCTTGAAATTCTCCTTTTATTGCATATATTTCTTTTTACTTTACAAATAATTATATGTACTGATACAAATGTTCCTTCACAGAAGGTACATTTTTTAAAAAATAAAAAGGGCCAGGGCGTCATCCAAAATAAGCCATTTATTGTTCATTAATATAAAATGTATTCATATTCCTAGGAGGCGTCATATCCAGACCGCTGTTCATCCAGATTTCTTGTATGATCTGCTCTCTGCGCTCTATCCTCTCAGCGAGGTCTGCGGCGTCTGATGAATTATAACCTGAGTAAGAAGGTCTATAAAGTCCCGCTAGCTCATTCGGAGAGTCTGAGTCGGAGGAATCCTCCTCCTCCTCCTCCTCCTCCTCTTCCTCATTCTCACTGCTCTCGTATGCTCCGCCACTTTCCGGCACTAAGTGATTTTTCTTTCCGAGCAATTTCTGGAAGTCATTAGAGCATGACACACGGATCACCAAAGCGCACAGCGTGAGGATTAAACCCACACAAACACTGGACACAAACAGGAGAGCGGCTCTTTCAGGGTGATCTGAAATTAGAAATCCAGTGCTCAAGCACTTTGCAAACTCCGCCAAACTCCAGCTCCAAAGAAGTCTTGTGCAAAGGGCGCTGCATGAGGTTCCTGCTGCGCTGGGGGGGTTTGGGGGTGTGGGGGAGGACCCGTATTTTGCCATGCACAGAAGCCCCTGGAAACCGAGCGCTGCCTCCTCTTTCTTTGAATGACCGTGAGAGCAGCCCAGCCTGACAGAGCATCACACAGTAACAGCTCTGCTCCGTTCTTGCCTCAGCAGTTTGCTGGCAGCCTTAGCCACCTACCAGGAAGATACCGCCTTTTTCCAGCCACGCTGCCAAAGTGGGTCTTACCCGCGTGCATGGAGGGCATGGGAAGGGAATATTTATGCTCCGAGGGGCCACAGCAGCATCTCCAGGCCAGGGCGCAGAGGGGGTGTTTTTAGCTCTTTTGCACTAGAGTGACAGGAGATGCAGAGCTGGGACGGGACGTTCCTGACGGGACGTGAAACCCAAGCCAGGGAGCTGCTCGAAACCCAAGCCAGGGAGCAGCTCGGGCTGCTCAGGAGAGGCGGCAGGTCACGGAGCGGAGCGAGGGGCTGCAGGCGGCATCGCGCAGGGCAGCGGGCCCTGCTCTTCCCTCGCGGAGCAGGGAGCTCTGCTCCGGCACCCTCCTCCACGGCAGCTTGTGCTCGCTCCTCATAGTCACAGGGAACTCTCCTGCGCTCTCCAAGATCTGGTCATCACCCATTTATCAGCCGAAACAGAGTTTTTTAGTGTTGCTAAGTCACAGAACCTGCTGTCTCCCATACCAGGGATGGTTTGGGTTTTTTTTTTAACTGCTCCTCAATGCTTCTTATAAGCATGGAAACCAGTGTTTCTAAAAATGGATGTCTCCAGCACTGCTCCCAGACCAAGATTTTCAGGAATACTTCATATCCAACAGTCCCCATTTAAAATACTCTTTTTAAAAATCTTGGCTGCAGCGTCTTTGGATCCTTCAAGATGGAAAATATTCTATAAATACCAATTATGCCATGACAGTCCCATCCACAAGACTGTGATTATATCATAATGATACATTTACTATAAATACAGGACAAGTGGTTGCAAGTTTCATGAATTCAGTCATGACTTTCTGATCTTCCCTTCTTCCACTCTCTCCACAATGCAAGGACCTAACRAACCAAACAAGTTCAGCCTCATTTTCTTACCTCTAATATATGCAAAGGTAGCCAAGGAGTTGCTGACAATGATTCCTTCTTTCTTTGGAAGCCTTGACTCCCTCGGGTCAAGGTCGTCGGTACCTGTGACAACTGAAGAGGCAAAGCAACGTCAGCCACATCACTCTGCTGCAGAGCTTGGCAGACCAAGCAATGGTTGGCAAACAAAACAGATGTTGAAATAAAATAAATAGTAAAATAAAAGAAMTAAAAGTTAAAATTAGATCCAAAGTATAGATAAAATATTGAAAATATTCAGCATATTCTGTTTTCAGTATTCAAGTGGGGTGGACCCTATCCTTTTCCCCATCTGTTGTGTTGCCTGCCAAGGTGAAGAGCAGCAATTTGGGCACTTGGTCCATCATCCCACTCTCACCTCCCTCTGCCCAAGCTGTGTTGTGGCAAAATGCCCCTTTTGGTTAAAAGAGGCCAAGGATGGGGGAAAGCCATTTCTCCTTCATAGCTGTCCTTACCATCGCTCTGCTTCACAGAGGGCTCACTCTCAGTGACCAGCGGGTTGACAGCCATAAGGATAAATCTAGGAACTAAAAAGGAGAAAGACAAATTGAGTAGCGTTAGGTTTGGAAAACAGAGCCCCAGGTAATTACCAGGTCTGCTGTAAGCAGCACCGATTTCTTATCCTTCTCATACCTGTCTGGGCTGCTGCCTGCTGGGCTACCTTGACTTACAGACTCAGAGAATCACTATGGTTGGAAAAGACCTCCAAGATCATCAAGTCCAACTGAAAACCCTTCACCACCATGCCTGTTAAATCACGTCCCTTAAGTGCCTCATCCACATGTTTCCTGAAGGTCACCAGGACGGTGACTCCACCCCTTCCCTAAGTAGCCTATTCCAATGCCTCACCATTCCTTATATGTAGAAATTCTTCTTAATGTCTAACTTGAACCTGGCACAACTTGAGGCCATTTTCTCTCGTCCTTATCAGTAGTTATTTCAGAGAAGAGACCGACTCCGGCCTCACCACAACGTCATTTCAGGCAGCGGTAGRGAGYGATGAGGTCTCCCCTGGGCCTCCTCTTCTCCAGGCTAAATAACCCCGGCTCCCTCAGCCGCTCCTCGCAAGCTCTGGGCTCCAGCCCYTGCACCAGCTGCATYGCCCTCCTGTKGACACGCTCCAGCACCTCTGTGTCCATCTTGTAGTGATAGGCCCAAAGGTGTTCGAGGTGCAGCCTCACCAGGGGGACAATCGCTTCCCCGGGCCTGCTGGCTAAGCTGCTCCCAACAAGCTTCTACCAGCCCTCATAGACGCCCCCAGACATGGATGGTGGCGTCACGCGCACGTGCCATAGAGTGAAGCAGGTCCCCGCTGCGACCGTTCAGGCTCGGCTCAGGCAGGCAGGCCCAGCATGGGAGGTGCTGGGATAACGCGCTGGTTTCCAGAGAAATGTCTGAAGTCTGGTGTGACATGCTCGGCAAACCCTCCAAGATACTGGGTGGGGGTGGGCTGGGCACCTTTTCATTTCATTAWTTTTTTCCCCTTGGGAAGTTTTCACAGTCTCTCTTAAAAGGATTAAAGAGAGCTAAAAGGAGGAACATCGTGTACATGTTCAGAGTTGGCATATTCTGCATTAGATGAATGGGCCCTTCAGATACTCAGATCTTGGCATCTCTTCTCTGTATTATATGAAGGCAGATTGACTGATTTTTAGAAAAAAAAAGAAAAAGAAATTTCAAGTATGAAGCTCACCTCCATCCCACATACAAATGTTCGCCAATAAACAGTGTTAAAAAAAAGTAAACAGAACAGAGGAGACTCAAGTTTGAGGCTTAGCATAGTTTTACTTTGAAAAATAACTAAAAATAGCACTTCATCTGAACAGAACTTTTCTTTGTGTGTGGGCTCAAAGTCATAGCTGTTGCCCTTCCTGATGAAGGATTTTTTTAAGGACTTTTTACTCCTGTTCACAATACACAGACAGGGGAGAGTAAGCTGATTCCTATTTTGGCTTGCACGTCATCATAACTCTTTAACTGTGTTGCAATGGCAGATCTTCTTTTTTATTTTTTGAAGGTGCACAAGGCATCGAGTGAACAGATTTGCTTGTTCCCAAACTGCCTGGGAAAGTGCAAAGGCAGCTGTTATGAACAATATCCTTGTGAGGTGAGAGACTTAACGTAAGTAGAAGCCACTGAACCGGGGATACAGGCTGCTGCTTCTAGAAAGCCTCATCCTGCCAAGCAGAAAGGGCCCGAGCCCCCAAAGTGTTTCCTGTAGCCTCTCCTTATGCCGTGTGGTGTAGGAGGCAGGAACAAAACCAAGCTCTTGACTGCCTGCGTTATCGATTTCTTCTACGGCTCTGCTTGAGACGCACCGTGTTTATGAGCACTTCAGGTCATATGAGGCCGCCAAGCAGAGGAACTGAGAGCAGCACAGGGAGATGTTTATCAAGACAGCCGCATCGCGCTCAGAGCTCGTGCCGGAGCCGCTGTGTCAGGCAGGGCTGGAGCCCACAAGCTACCATGAGCTGCCCAGGGCAGACCGGTTCGGGGAGGCAGCCAGGCAGGGCAGCCCCGCTACGGGAATGGGGAGCCGTCCGTCTCCCGGGGAGGCTCCCGAATTCCGGCCTCCGCGCAAGACCGGGCACGAGATGACGCGGAGATGGTCAGCTGGGGCTGTGCAAAACCAGCCTCTCCAGCCTCCCCCTACGTTTTCACTAGCAGGAATTAACTCAGAAAAGGAAAATGCAGCCTGGCACTAGCCCTGAAAGGTTGCTGACCGTAGGGAGTATCATTTTTTCACATTCCTGGCTATGATGGTAAATCCTTTAATGTAAGTACAGTATAGCACTCAAAGGATGYGATCTAGTCAGCTGTGTTCCTGTCATTTTGGAGGGAAGCCCTTTTACCTTAGCTTGCAGGGAAGCATCAGGTTAGCAGGAACCCTACAATGAGGGGAAATAATGTAAAATGTCACTCTGAGATATCCCCAAGCTTTCTGCATGCTCACTTAGATGATCTGCAGAACATTTAGACTTGCAAATCATTGGCTAATACCTCAAATTGCTCAGCTCAGTAGGATTCAGCAGAAGAATAAGTCTTCAGAATGTGCCAGCAACACATAAGAACACTATTTATTATCTAGTTTTTTCAAAACTACTCCACTAAATAATACAATGCACAACCCCACTGCAAACAAGCAAGTGCTTTGTTTTCCATTATATGGGTGTTCAAGAAAGGACAATCTGTTATAATTACCCTTATTCTAATTAAACAGATTTCCATTAACTCATTCATAAGGCTATTACAGCATAGAGGAAACCACACAGTAATCTTCTGCCTTATTATGGAGACAGATCTCCAGTTCTCTTCAGTAGTTATTGCCCTGCCTCTCCCCTAACAAACACCCAAAACAAGGGAGACTGAAAAACAATCTCTTATGTCAGCAAGGGAACAGCTGGGCTTCATTTTCCTGTGCTCTTGAGATAACACAGAATCACAGAATCACAGAATAGTTGAAGTTGGAAGGTGCCTCTTGAGATCATCTAGTCCAACCCCGTGCTCCTGCAGGGACACCCAGAGCACGGGGCACAGGGTGGCATCCAGGTGGGTTTAGAAGATCTCCAGAGAAGGAGCCTCCACAACCTCCCTGGGCAGCCTGTGCCAGGGCTCTGAAAGAGCCCTGGAACAAGCAAACAACAACCTGACAGAGAAWTCTGAAGTAATTTCGTTCCTGCTTTCATTCATATTATACTTTKCTGTCCCATAACCCTAACGGAAGGGAATTCTGCTTTTCCATGACGTCAACAGGTTAAATGATGCTATAGCATAYGAAAAGCCTCCCCCTGTTGTCTGCAGAATGAGCTGTACAGTCTTGCAAGGGATTCATAACCTCAGCCCTTCTTGTCCAGCCAGTGAGAAAGGGCCCGTGAGAAAGGCAGCCCCTCTGCAAGGCTCTAGGAAGGGCCTGTGCACGTGGCCCCCCGTTTCGCTGGCGCGAGTCGCCCGGGCTGAGGGCAGGCGGCTTTCCTAGCACTGTGGCCAGCGAATTCTCTGGAACTCAATCTCAGCGTGAGAGTATTACTCAACATATTAACACGCATAATCTGCATTTTACTGTAAATTGCATTTTTATGGAGAAAAATACCTACTGCTTGAGTTTATGTTGGGTATGGCTCTGGCCGTGGGATTGTTCACATATTTGGGGTATTTCAGTAGGGCTATCTCACAGATTTCCTATGTTAAAAGGAAGGTTAGGCTTGGACAGCCTCTGCGTATGTGTGTGGTGGGGCCTGGCTCCATAGGTGTCTGCCTTCTGGCACTGATCTCCCCTGCCAGCAGAGTAAGTGCTGTGAAATGATCGTGCATTTGCTCTTACCACATGCATAGCTGACGTTAAGGTATTTTTTCACTCCAGGTAGGCACGGACTTCCAAAATCCCGGTTAGTGACCATCATTTTGCATCTCTGCTTCCCGTAACACCTTTTTGATAAAACTTCTAGGGCTGTGTAAGATAAACAGTCTGGAAAAAAAAACCACATATACAACAAATATACAACACTGATGGTATCAGAAACACTAGCTGTTACACGCACAACTAGAGATAAAAATCTGCTATCATTTTCAGGTATACGTTTGCCTGGGCAAGAGTTCAGAATTAGATCTTAGGATTTGTCTATGTCAGGAAGTCGGCACATAATGAAAAAGTGAGCTCAGAGCAAGCTCGCTACCTCATGCATGCTAACATTAAGGTTGCAGTAAGATTCATCTCTAGCTACAAATGAAGTGCCCAGCGTAAGGAGTCAGTCATCTATTTTCCCTTCTTGGTGACTTGGGGTGAGAAAAAACTACACCCAGACAGCTCTTTTATCTCTCCCATCTTACAGTGTGTGTGTAGATAAAGGAAGATGCAAGGAAGGCTGCAGGTATCTCTCTGTCCCAGGGTTATCAGGGTGATTTGAACAGCTGCCCAATTTCAGCTGAAGTTTGGTGAGATCATTTGTTGTGTGGCACAATAGCCAGGGATACAGTGAAGTGAATAAAAACAGATATACAGTGTATGAAAACTGGCCTAGCTGAAATATACACTTCCTTTTTGTTTAGACTTTTTTCTTTTTTTTTTAATTGAAAATGTATGTTTTTCTTCTTACAAAAAAAATAAACCAAATAAGCAGTATTTTACATCAAAGTTGAAATTACCTGCATAGGAAAATCTGTGTGACGGACCAACCTTAAAAATTTCCTTTTAAAGAGAATGAATATTTCTAAATTTTATTAACTTCTCAGTATCCGCACATGCTAAACTCTGATCCATAAAGCAAAAATACCTGTTAGCTCTGGCTATTAAACAGACAGAAACTATGACAAAAGCACAAGTTTATAATAAGAAATACTTTGTCTTCTGAACCTGTCTGGTCCCAGTCAGATTTACCTCAGTAGTTTGAATAGTTTGATGAGTGTCTATGAATGAGGGATATTCATTCTAGTGTTTCCAGGTGAGGACTTTCTACAAGGTAAAAACATGTATCTCTTGCCACTAAAAAAGTCCTTCTTCCTGTAGCAAAATTTAGACATGGATGGCACCTTGTCATCTTTTTCCAATTGCTTGAGCTCATTTGTGCTACTTCAGAGGCAGGAAAGAGAGTGTACAAAAAGGTTTTTCAAACTAGTCTTGATTGAAAAGAATGTGAAGATTTGAGACGGGTGTTCTTGACAAAGAAGATTTAATATGTGAAAATGGGCAAGATTTTGAGAGTTAATCCTTTGACACCAGCTAAGCACCTGTGAATAAGTCATATGCATGAGTAGAGACATGAGGAGATAGTGTGCTCATTCCTTGTTGTTTTGGAAAGAAATCACGGGTTGCCTTGAGATAACACACTTCTGGGAGAACAACTTCTGCTTTGGCTCTTCGAAGCCCTAGAAACCTAGCACCTGTGTGTGCTGGAAGGCTGCTGGGCACCCAGGGCTCCTTGAAAACTTCAGCACTGTAATTAAATAACTCAGCTGTTAGTGGAGCGCCTCTAGCTGTCAGCTAGTCTCTCTGGCCACCTTAGACCACTAAGAATATATTTGGGTGGACATTTTAGGCAGCCAGTAGATTATTTTGGCAAGTGCAAAAACAATTGAAGCATATCAGCAGGAACTATCAGATGATTCATATATGAATGGATTGGGAGATGATTCATATATGAAAGGACTGGCAAAGCGATTCATGTTTCCTATAACCTTTCCTGCTCTTGGRGCGATGTGATGTCTTGTGTAACAGCAGGCTCTTGCCCTGATGGTTTTCTACAAACTCAGTGGCACGCTGAGTGCAAGTTTTATTTTGCCTTTTGCCCATGTTGCCGTGGGAGTTAATAGATCCGTATCATCTAAATACATGTTGGATTTGGCTGCTCTTCGTGAGGAGCCAGTCCTGGGATTGTGTCATTCATGTGCTTGCAGGCTCTTGGCAGGCCAGTTTTTGGGGAACTTTCCAAGGCCTGCCTGGTGCCATGGGTGTGCAAGTGTAAACCAAGGCTGGCTTCATTTGCACAGCACAACTCTGAACCGGAATGAGCTGTAATAAGATAAAAAAAAAAAAAAAAAAAGCCCAAAACAAGCAAAGAAAAAAATCACCCTATTTAACAGCTACCTGTGGTCTATCAAGTATTTGACTTTTGGTGATTAGGTCAAAAACTGTTTTCTTTTTTCTTCTCTTTGGTTTATGCTCTTGCTAGCTGAGCAATGAGTTCAGCAGGGAGGAATCTGGAGTGTTCTGTACTGGAAGTCACTCTTTCAGGGGCTGCAGCCTTGTCTGTCTGGTGTCCCACAAGCAGATGCTACAGAGAAGTTAGCTGTAGGGACACGCAAGCTGTAGGGACACCCAGGTTCAGCCCAGCTTGCTTGGGGACTAGCAGCAAAGCAGCTGCAGTGCTGCAATGCTCACACCAGCAACAGCTGATCCTCCTTCTGGTCAAATACCTACCAGCAGGGTCTACACGAGGAGAAAGTCCAGTCAGGGCTTAATTTTGAGTAAATGATTGAATAGTTCCACTGCACTGTCCTTAACAAGTCACAAATCAGGGGATGAAAATAAATTCACAATACATCTTCTTCCTGAAGTAATGCTTCAACTGAGTTTATGCTTATGGGGCTTGTTAAATTGGTACCATCTGTTTGAAATCAACTGCTCCTTGAACAGCCCTTTCCTGGCATGCTAGAAGGCTGGGGTCATCCTCCAGCAGCAGCAGCAAAGTCAGCAGTGCATGGCTGGAAAAACATTTAATTCTTCAAACCCTCCTGCCAAAGTGGCTTGCTACGTACCCATAGTGTTAGTTGGTTTTTTTAAGTGGACCCTTACATGGGTGGCATAGAGATACAGGTGACAACAAGAGGTTTTTAACCTAGTAGTAAACTATCAAATCTGACTGCAGTTATTTAACGGTGCAGAAAGCCCTGTTTCTGGAAGAAAGGCTCTAATTAGCTGTGTTCAGGAAAGTTTTGGCAAGCAAATGACATGCCATAAATCATGTAGCCTTTAATGAGGAGCAATTTGTCTTCTGATTCCTTAAAGTTTCTCTCAATTCAGACCTGAGGAGCCTTCCTTCCCTTTCTTTCTATCCTACCACCCAAGACCTGCAGGCGATGGAGCAGCCAGAGCCGGCCTGAGCGATCGGTGTCAAGCTCTGGCAGCAGCCTCCTCTCCCACCTGCCRTGACCATTACTGATTGCTGCCCGTGCCACCCTGCTATGCATGGGGCAGGCCTCAAGACCCTGCAGGTAGGGGATGCACCTTAAATGCAGATCTGTATTACATAAAAATGTAACGTGCCCATGAAGGACTCTGGGAGCCACAAGAGGAGCTCCTGCTTTTCACTCCGAGCTGGAGCCCAGCTGCACGTTGCTTTCATYCCCAGCTGCTGGCTCAGGGTGCTTTATGTTTTCCTGGGCTGTGCCTACCCACAAAAGAATAAGGAGYCTGCTTTAAAAATCAAGTGAAAGCAAAGATTTCACACTCCCGAATCAGGAAGGCTTGTGCTTTGTGGAGCCCAGATACCAGCTCTGGGGATAAGAGCTGACAGGAGGAAACTAAGGAGTTGTGGAGCGCGCTAAGGCTGAGAACTCCTAAAGAAAGTTACCATAACAATATGGTAATTTATGCAAGAGTGTGGTATAGAGGGTCCTGCCTATGCCTCAGAAAAAGGGCCATTTGAACTGCTAAGTCTTGCAAAAAACCACAAGCATTTCTGCTTGATCTTCGTTTATGAAGAATGTTTCTGATATCTTTATATTCCAGGGCTGAGCCCTGTCAGTAAACAAGGCAGGATGAGATGCTGAAAGTGCTGCGTTTTGTTGGAACAGGCCATTTGGTAGAAGTGACTACAGTATCAAGGCTTTCTAAAAAACGGCACCCTTTCCCTCCCTCTCACAGTGCAGCAGCAGTTCCTGTGCGTGTTGTGAGCCCCTTGCAGTCTGCATGAGAGTAGCCCATTATTGGGGGTTGTTTAGAGGTGGGTCCGTGTTCACAATTCAGTCTGTGAGTATGTGGTGCAGAGCCCTCCCAGCCTTTCGCTCCTTGTGGGTGCACAGAGACTACAGGATCTTTCTGCCAGCACAAATACAGGAGACAAGACACAAATGCAATTCTGCACTTGGTGACAGCAGGAAATAAACTCTCTGCTCAAATGCTTTTGGCTTTGCTTTCTGCAGCTGAGGTCTATACACACACACAGAAGTTAAAGGAGTTTCTCATTTTATTTTAAACTGAAGTGCCAAGAGTACTTTTCCAAACAACTTAATCTAAGTAAGAAAAACCTGCACRTAAGAAAACTCTAAACTGATATTAAGGAAACATTAATGGACAAAGTGGTGCATGTCTGAACTTGCAGATAACTTCAAAAAGCTGGTCAGAAGTGTGTGAACTTCCCCGCTGACCTCAGCAGAACATTAACTGGTCTCTAAAAATGAAGTGTGCTCTCCTCCTCCCTCCAGATATTCCCTTCTCATCCTGCCACTGCTTCAGTCCTTCTCTTTTGGAGCCAATTTGCCTTGCCAASAACTCTGAGAGTTGAGGCATGCAAGGACTGTTGGCAGCACCTCATAGGGTGCAAAACAWTTACTAAATTTCCCACTTTGCTCAGGTGACACGGTCAAGGAACTTCTCATACCGGATGTCTGGGCATAGATGGAGTCTACTTCCAGGTGGTGGAAGCAAAATTGAACTATTTTGTCCTTACCTTTGCACCCACTCTAAAGTGAGGGCACCTTTGCACCTACTGTAAGGTAGTAACTCCCTGTGGACTATCCTCCCACCCCCAAAGCGAGCAGACACTACAGGCAAAAGCCATAAAGGGAGATAAGAACCTTGCCCGTGCCCCGCAGTGCTGGTACCACTAAAGAAGAGGCCCCGCGCTGTGGTACCGGCAAAACTCCGTTCGACGGCCCTGCCTCCTGCACCGCTGCCCACGGCCTTGCGTTGGAGATCGGCCTCTTAATGAGCTAGTRAATATGTGGCACATAAATGATGCTGAGGAACAG